AAAAATAATACGTATTAGGTCGGGATTTCGTTTGGATTCTGTCTGCATGGAGCCCCGTGTGATAAGGTCCTGAGTGTGCACTCCTGAACATCCTAAACATTTCTCTATGGTTGCACATTGGAGAGGAAAATTACTGGTGTGACTGATCTTCACATCAAGGAAATCTTATGAACTTCAGGAGTCTTTGGAACAATTTCCACTGGTGTAAAAATATATGAACCCAATGGCATGTTAAGGAAAAATAAATATTGAGTTCTGCATTTATAGATCATACATTTATCTGGCTCTGTTACAATTTCTTGTCATTTGGAAAGTTATCTGTGGAATAATGTTTACTTCAGCTGTACACATATAGTAATTGCAAGTTCTTGATAATTTGTGTATTTTCATTTTATGGATGTAATTGGTAGCGGAGAAAGTAGCAGAAAACAGCAGTAATAGTTGCAGTTGAGAATGATTAGAATCCTGGATTCAGTTAATTACTGAAAAATATAGAAAATTGTCCTAGATTATATTTGATGATATAGTAACAGATAAAATGATATCCTGGCATGCACCAATATTAAAAATCTTGTTAAACTGTAAATTTTTACTTTAAATAAATATAAGAAACAGCATTGTTCAGTGTGAATGATTTGACTGCCTGATCGAGAAGAGCTGCAGTCTATTAGGGCCTGGTAGTTGTTCTATTGCATTGAGTGATCACTTTGAATTTTCCTGCGCAGTAAAAGAGCAGCAGATTGGGGAGTATGCCAAGGAAGCAGCATCCATACACAACAGCTAAAGTGCCTACAAAATGCAAAGCTGGTTTTTAGACCTGTTCAGAACAATCAAGCAGGGAAATAATCTGCTGAAAGTGTGGCCTTATTCTCTTGTGGATGAGACAAATTCACACAGCAATAAAGTATCACTTTATCCCTGCAATTGTCCTCCCAAACTCAACAAATCGGCTTTTTGACAGCCACCTATTACAATTCAAGACTTTGGCTTATTGCCCAGTACCCACATGGAAGCTCCTTGTATACAAGTAGAATATAGGAAATAGAGCATGGGAGTAAAAGAGACAGTGGTTCTGGTCGTGCATCTTGTTGAGTCCTTATAGCTACAATCCCCAGGAATAAGATGCAAAAATCTGTTTCTGACACACATGTAAGAGGCTTAAAATGGTACAGATGACTGAAGAGGCATTTGTAGACCTCCAAAGCTGAACCAAAAAAAAAAAAAAAAGTGATTTACAGGAGAAATAATTGTTTTTGATTATGGACACAATTCTCATAAAGACGTCAGTGGGCACAAGAGTGGTGGCTTTGCACACCTCACAATCCCAGCACTGTCTTGAGGTGCATTGGATGGTCTTGAGCAAGCCACAGTCTCTCAGTCTGAAACCTTAGAGGAGGGTATTCGTATGAAAGCAAAAGTGCTGGTTCTAAATTGGAGAGCATCTTGCTGACTGTTTGGAGGGATAATGTGTGTGTGCTCTGTACCTTCAAGTCATTTCTAACTTGTGCCGACCCTAAAGTGAACCTATCACAGGGTTTTCTTGGCAGGTTTCTTCAGAAGGGCTTCGCCATTTGAGGCTAAGAGAGAGAGTGTGACTTTCATGGCTGAGTGGGTATTCAGACCCTGTTTCTCCATAGTCCAATACACAACCCAGTACACCATGCTGGGATTAATACCCATCTCTATACAGCTGGCTGGCTTCTGTGCTCTTTTCAACAACCTGTTAATAGTCCTTCAAAAATAAATGCAGTTGTTAGCAGATATAATACCGTCATACCTCAATTAACAAGCCTTCCAACAGTGAAATCCCTTTTACAAAGATTTTTCATACCTGTCCACATCCCCTCACTTTTCACCACATCTTCTGTCAAGCTGTACATTTTTAATAATTGTTTTTATTTGTTTCATAACAACAATACAAAACAAAGAATTAATATATTAATAATGAATTAATATATGTAAACTTGCGTAATAGCTATCATTTATGGGGTAATTTGTTGTTGTTGTTAACTGCCCTCGAGTCGATCTTGACTCATGTTGGCCCTATGGATGAGACGTATCCAAAACCTTCTGTCCTCCACTGCTCTGCTTAATTGCTAAAACCCCATACCCATGGCCTCCTTAATAGAGTCCATCCATCTAGCACAGGGGTTGGCAACCTACGGCCCACGGGCTGGGTCTGCCCCCCCAAGGTCTTTGGACCGGTCCCCGCCAACCCCCACTGCCGCCGTGCGTGTTGTGGCTGCCATTTTGTTTTCCAAAATGGCATCCGTGACTCGTTTGCGCATGCGCAGTACTCCTGAGTATGCGCGAACGAGATGGCAGTTTGGAAAACAAAATGGCGGCAGCACACGCGTGGCAGCGGCCCACGGAAAACCAGGGGATCCCCGGCCCGGCCCCAGGTAAGGGGAACATGCTGACCCCTGATCTAGCATGTGGCCTTCCTCTCTTCCTACTTCCCTCCACCTTCCCCAACATTATTGTTTTTTCCAAAGAATCCTCTCTTCTCATAATGTGTCCAAAGTACAACAGGTTCAGTTTGGTCATC